AAAACGACTGGTCACTACATGATGTGCACCGGGTGATAAGTACACCATTATCACTGGAGATCAGGCTACATATAAACTTGCAGTTGCCATCAGAAACAAGCACCAAGATGAGTTCTGCAATGTAGTGTTGTTACTGGGAGGCTTCCATCAAGCTCACAACTACATGAAGGCTATTTGCAAGATCATCAGGGATGCAGGTGCAGAGGATCTTTTTGTAGCAGCAGGTCTCTGTCAGGAAGGAACTTCCAAGAAGATATTTGGTGAGAAGGCTGACTACTACCAAACCTTACATGCCCTCAAGATCCTCAGTGAAGCCATGTGGCACCTGTTCTGGGAAGCATTTGAGGCATGGGCAGCAGACAAGGTAACACAGCACTGAATGATCCAGATGACACATCCACAGATATCAGTCCTATGAGAGCAGCTACTGCTTTTCCATGAATCAATGAATGGGCAACCAACTGCAGTCCTCTGGTCAACCTTCCTGGGTTTTTTTTTGGGGAGTTTTTCCTTATCCGCTGTGAGGGTCTTAAGGACAGAGGGATGTCGTATGCTGTAAAGTCCTGTGAGGCAAATTGTGATTTGTGATATTGGGCTTTATAAATAAAATTGATTGATTGATTGATTGAGATGTCAGACATCCTCCACAGGTTTATCTACTACGAGCGGGAAGGTGACTGGACAGGACATCTCTGTGAATCAGCAAGAATGCTACCCTACCTCACTGCAGCAGGCCACTACAAACATGGGCAGCAATATTTGCCTCTGTATTTGGCTGAGATGAAGAAACTGCCAGACACAGCCCCAGAGGTACATGAAGCACTGCTGGCAGGTGTATTTGTTGGTAGACGAGCAGATGGCAACCACAACAGTGTTTCTCTTGACATGCTTCTGGAGCAGACGTATAATGCAGATGCCAAGGAGGCGAGTGGTCTGGATGGCATTAGACTCAGCCCTGCTGCCCGGACAAAGTCGGTCTACACAAAACCACTCACTGCAGCTGTCTCTGCAGAGCTCAAGTCTACGCTCCACCTCTACTCCTCAAGCCCACACCATGAGTCTGGTCAGAGTCGTGTAACCAGGGATGCAGAGATGGTAGTCAAGGTCATGGCAGCAGCGGAGACTAACCCATTTACAGTGACCACATCATCCCTGATCAACATATCAACAGGACAGTGTCCTGATTCCACAGTCAAGGACAACCTGATCAGTGTGAAAGAACTGGGTCTGAAGGCACTGTGTGAGTCACTGTCTAGTGATCAGAAGAAGACAAACATAGTGAACATTAACACTTTCCATACTCAAAACACATGGAATACATGGAATCTGAGGAGGACATATGTAATAACATGGCCTACGTATTTTTGAGATTGCAGCCATATTGACAGTATGCAAAAGCGAGCTCAAGTATAAACCTGAGCCAATGTATTCATATAGCTCAAAAAGCATAACATTTGCCAAAACAGTCAACAGTCATGGTAAAGGTCATGGTAAAACTGATTTTAAACTGGCCATATTGGATTTCCAGCAGCAAGTTGACTGGGTTGTCCCTATAGGTTGTGATCCTACTGGGTCATAGATATCATTTCTGGTGGCCAACCTTTTACAGCAGGGCAAATGCAGCACACCCCCCTTTGCCCCCCGGGTAGAAGGCTTTCGGATGGCGTGGGAAATTAAATATAATAAAATTATATTATAGGTTGTATAATAGCAAAGCAAAAATGTATTTTATATTTTTCACACACACACTGTGGCATGGGCAGTGTCAGCTTGTTGAAATCACTTATGATTATGAATGTCAGCTGATGAAAATGGGTATAATGTGACTCTCTATAAATATAATAATATTTTGCACCTCCTAATTGTTAATTGATTGATTGTTTTTGCAACCGGGTTTTTTTTTGTTTTTTGGGGGGGGGGGTCTGCTTTACCCACTAAGCCTAGACGCCCCTATTCTGCCATATTTTAATGTGTAATGCTATGTTATGTAATAACTTTAGCTAATAGTATTAGCCTACCTCCAATTGTCTGCAGCAGGTAAATTCACTCTTGGAACACCAGTTTTCCATAGGAAAATAAGCTCTGGATTTCTTCTCCTCTTTGTAGTAGTCATCCTGGTGGTCCCTGCAGACCCGCAGGTCTGCATAGGCAATGTATGAACAGGAGTGTTAGGATCCATTTGTAGCACAACTAGCCAAAAATGTAGGGTCCAACAAAGTCAGTAAAGATGGCTGCCAGAAGTGTAGCTCCTCATTTTGTTGGCACAGGCTGGAGATGCGCAAATATGAACCACCCTTTACAACATAGGTGTTGTGATTCACTGGACCACAGATGATTTGTCATTTGTTAAAATCTAAAGTGGACATGCGAATGCTTTTTTTCTTGCCATCTGAAATGGTAAGATATCTCATGTTCTTTGTTCTATAAACAAAGACAGTTATTTGACCCTCATCTCCACAGGATGCCCCACCTCACACCTCAGTGAGAGACAGGTCTCAAAACTTGATTGGACAGTACCTTTACGGTGTCATGTGACTCTGTCATGTCACCAGGCAACTGTAGAAGTTCTGATCCTTTCACTGTCATTCTTCCTCTTTTTCCTTGTGTGCCTTGACCAGCCCAGACAAGCTCTCACTTGCTCCTGGGTCCTTGACCTGCCCAGAGGCCCTTGCCCGTGAACCACTAAGAGAAAGGCAGTTGCTCACAGACTCTCTTTCTGCTGAACCACGACTTGCCCTCGCTCATGGCAGGAGCAAACCTGAAACCAGAGAAATTACTGTGCAAACACAAGGTTTGCAGCTAACTTTCAAGCAACAAGGAGAACCAAGTTGAGTTAGCACCCCGATGTCTAACTCTGCAAGGACCCGAGTGACCGGCTTCCTCGGATCTGCATCTTTGGAACAAAGGACACTACAAAGACTACTTCTGGAACCACAGCTCTTTCCAGCCTTCCCCTGCCAGCTAACAAAAGCAGCATGCCTCAAACCAACTCTTCCCTCCATCCATTCACTGATTGCTAATGTAACAACTGGGCATAGCAGCTGTACAGGCTAAGCAAGACTGTTTAACTTGTTATATGTGATTTAATGCTGTTTATTGAGTCTTGCTGTGATTGTTTGCAGTAAGGTTATTGGTTAGTTGGCTTTGCCAAAGCTAAGTGATGTTAGTTTGCTAATGCTGTTCACGTCTTGCACGCAACTAAACATCCTCTGCACTAATCCAGACCCTTTGCAACACATATCATATTCACATAGATTCATTTACAAATTTGCTTTCAACAGAGCTACACCCAAAGAGGCAGCTCAAAGCTCCCGCTTCTTTTCCTTTTTCTTTGTCCTGACCACACGGTCAGACAAACCCTCCCCCGATCTGAAGCCATCTTTGATTCGGCCATCTTGTAGTTTGCTGTTGTCAGCCATTTTGTTTTGTAGGACAAACGGCCCTTTGATTACCACACCCGCCTTTGTCTCTTTCTCTCTCTCTCTCTCTCTCTCTCTCTCTCTCTCTCTCTTTCTCTCTCTCTCTCTCTCACACACACAATAGTTATATAATAGTTTAGTGAACTTTATGAGGCCGATTCCATTTACTGGCTATCATTTTGCCCTTTTTGGGAATGGTGCCCCACGAGGTGATTTAGTGTAAATTACCTCATATTATTTAACATAATTAATGATAATTAGTAATAATTATCAATTATTTCTGATAGCTAATTTGATATTTTAATTGGAGATCTATTATGAGGTCAGGACCTTGATGAGGCATAGATCCCAACATTTTGGGGCCGCCGCATGAGACCTACTAGATTTCCAACAAATAGTATCCCCGCTTTTTATAACACTAGTAGAATTCCTTACATTTTTGGTGAACTACTAAACTACTAAAAAACTACATTTACTGTAAACTACTCTGATTACCTCTCTCCAGAGCTCTAACAGATTTTCACTGTTGTTTTCCTGCAACAAGTGACATCTGGTGATATCTTGTGATATTTCAGATGGAGACTTCTGCTTAATGAGGCAATAACAAACAGACCGGATCAAGTGAAAGGTAAACAGACACTTCTGCCCCTTATGATGTTCAGTTGCCCTGTGTGCTTCCATTAAAGCTCATTCCGTGGCCGCTGGCCGCTACCAGCTCCCTCAACATTGGACCAATTTCAAAAAGTTTTCATTTACATCAGTGTCTTTGATCAATTTATACAGGTAAATAGGGTCCAGGTTGAAAAATGCTGAAGTTCTCCTTTGAGGACCTGGAAAGTCCCTAAAGGGGGATGGTAGGGTGCAACAACACTGCACTTTTGCTTCCAATATAAATGTAGAGCCAAAGCGTGGTGTTTTTTTGTTGTTGTTGTTGTTGTTGTTGTTAAACCTAACCATGTGCATTTGTTACACAGTGATATAAATCTAAATACAAGGTGTGTTACCAACATTGTAAGTTTATTTTGAAAAAGACTGTATGCATGTAAGGAGCAGAAACTGCACAACGGAAGTGTATTTTGAAAGACTCATTGCATGTAACAAAATTAAATTGACACAGCATGCCAGAACATCAACAACAGACGCACTCAGAAAGTCGGTGTAGAAAGTCCACTGACCAAGCAGCAACGTGTGAGGAGTTGGGAGTGAGAATGTGTTGTATGAACATCCTTTACCCCCACCCAACCTCCAACTCGATGGCTTATCAGGCATGCGCAGGCATCACTAGCCTGATAAACAATCAATGAGAGAGAGAGAGTGAGAGAGAGGGAGAGAGAGAGAGAGAGAGAGAGAGAGAGAGAGAGAGAGAGAGAGAGAGAGAGACCATGACAGAGATAGAGCATATATCAACCAGACTGAGGGGACTGAATGAGCTGAGTGTTGCAATTCTTAGCCAGAGGGCAGCAAGTGTGTGTGTGTGTGTGTGTGCGTGCGTGCATGCGTGCGTGAGAGCGAGAGAGAGAGAGAGGGAGAGGGAGGGTGAGAGAGACAGGTGGAGAAATAGGCTGAGAGAGAGAGGCATGCGGTCTGAAGGAGATAGAAGAGGACTGTGTATCTCTCTTCTCTTCTCTGTCCAACTGCTTTCCACCTCTCCGTCATCTCTTATCTCTCCTCCATTTGTCTGTCTGGACTTCCCGTTTCCTGTACTGCTGGTACATGACTGATCCAGGGGAGGATGTTGAAGTTCCGTGTGGACAGAAGAGTGAGGTAGGTGGAGGGAGAAAGGAGGAAGTGACACACAGGGCTGGAGTAAGGACAAGATGAGGAAGACATGGAGAGGAGAAGGGGAGGTTGATGAAAGAGTGGACAGCCTGGAGCTTGGAGGTCAGAGATGACTGCAATGCAGTGCCAGCAGGAAACACAGGAAAACCATGAGTCCTGCTGTGTATGCGTATGGGCGATGTATGTGCTCTGTGGGCAGTGATTTTTAGACTAGAGTGTGTTTGTTTTGTGTGTGTGTATGTGTGTGTGTGTGTGAGAATCATGTGACTCAGTGCGCTGATGTGTGTCTGGCTGGTGTCTTCCACAGTGGTGCAGTGCTAAATCAGGAGCAGGAATTTAAAAGGGCTGTTATGGTTTTGTCTGTATGTTGTTGGTGACACGCAATCCTTGCTGTTTTCTTCTTTTTGACCTCACTACACATCAGTTGTCAATCAGCCAGTGGGATTAATATGTCATATAATAATGATGCAGTATTGGTTTCTGTAGTTGTCACTTTTGTAATTGCATGGTATGGATGCCTCCAGCTGCCTCTCTGTCAGCTCCACCAAATGTTTTTGTAAATTTAGGCTCTTGTGTCTTTTTTGCCAGTGTTGGTGGTGCTTCCTGTGGTTGGCTTGGATGGTGGTGGCATGTGGCTGAGAGTTACTCATCAGGATGAGGAAATCATCTCACCTGTCTGTAAACGCTCCGTTTAACGACTAGCTGCTAGCTAGCTACTAGCAAGCCAGGTCAAGGTTTTCAAATGTAAACATTTATAAAAATCAAAGAGAGATGTTGAAGAATGGGGACCAGCTGAACTAGCGTTCTGCCAACCATCGGCATTAGAAATAAACTGTGCTGCGTCCTTTTCCAACAGGATATCATGTAATATCCTTTGATTCATCAAAACTTGTCTAAATCCTGGATCGGGCCATTCACCCAGGTGACTCTTTATATATGTTGATTCCAACAGAGCAGAGGCGAGAGAAGGAGCGGAGGAGTGTACTTTGGTGAATATGGACTGGTGTGTCGGTGGGATTGTGGGCTGCTGTCCCATCCCTGCTGTGGATCAGTGCTGTCAGTGTTTGGTAAAAGCAACCATGCCGCTGTCTTATTGAGGTCAGCATGTGTGGACACTTAGATTATTCCACAATCAAAAACCATGGTTTACCAGAACCATCAAATAACATGGACTATAAATGAGTTATAATGCAGCATCCAACAATGTAACACGACACATAAAAAGGACTAAATTACAGTGCACAAATTAAACGAGCTGATTGGATCACATGTCACTGGAGTTGTATGTTGTGTAATTTTATGTGACAAATAAATGATTCAATTGAATTGAACTGTACTGAACTAAACTGAACTGAACTGAACTGAACAGAATTGAATTAAATTGAATTAAATTGGCACAGTGGTGCAGTAGTTAGCATTGTTGCTTCACAGTAAGAGGGTTCCTGGTTCGAACATGGGGTGGGTGAACCTTCTGTGCAGAGTTTACATGTTCTCCCTGTGTCAGCGTGGGTTTTCTCTGGGTCTCCAGCTTCCTCCTACAGCCCCAAGACAAGCAGGTCAATTGGTGACTCTAAATTGACTGCAGGTGTGAATGTGGGTGTGAATGGTTGTCTGTTACCCGTTTTCCACCAAAGCAGTTCCAGTGCTGGTTCGGGGCCAGAGCTTTATTTGGAACCGGTTTTCCTGTTTCGACAGACAAAAGAACTGGCTCTAGGCCATAAAAACCAGTTCCAGAGTGGCGCCAGTTCTTTGCTGGACTAGAAGAACGAACCACATACATCACTGGGAAGGGGGCGGGGTTATTGAGACCAACAACAATAAATGAGGCCACGCAAAGCGCCAATTTTAAAAACACGCGAAGAGTGAAGCCATGGACGCATCGAAGCAACAGTGGTCCGTCGAGGAAACAAGCTGTTTCCTTGCCTTATGGTTGTCGGCAGAGGTTCAAAACAAACTCGAGGGAGCTTCGCGGACCAAGCCGGTACTTATCCAAATACAGCTCGCCAACACCATTCAGCAGCTCAGGTCAAAGCCACCAGACCAGACCAGGTAAGAGTTGTTGTGCTGTTTATCCAGTAATTTGTCTCACCAGACACTATGCAAACATGGAGATATACCTAAAAGTATGACTTGATAATATAAATATGTGCTGTGATAAATGAACAATCATTCATACACAATCCCCTACCACCCATGACTGCTGCCATTGAACCAGGGCAGCTACATACTCCAAACAGCAATACTATCCACAATCGTCACTGTTACTTGTATACCCACATCCTCATTTCCATATGGTGTGAGGCCTGTATAATCTGTCGTAAGACTAGTGCTGATTGCTGAGCTGAAGTGTTTGTTACACTGTACTGCTGAACCTGTGTTTATCTACTTATGACTTAAAAAAAACTTTTAAACTGATTATTCTATTCTTGTACACAGGGAAGAGGAAGAGAGACAGCAACACAGGGCTGCTGGAATATCTGGAGAGGGCAGACGAGAGGTTCTTGCAGCACAGCAAGGACCTGAATGATGCCCTGCTGCAGAAACTGGAGACTGACACCAGTGCATTTCTTGGACTGATGGGGTGCATGGTATCTGTGATGGAGGCCCAAGCCCAGAAATGAGCAGTTCTGTTTCATGGGTAGTTTTAGTTTTGCGCATTCAATGCACACTTGTCACTGTTATCATTAGCTTGTTTTTTGTATTTAAATAAATTTTCATTTTCTAAAGAGACATGTCTGCTTCTGTATGTTTTCGCTTAATGATGTACAATTTAACTGTGTAATAAGTTCAAATAAAGTTAGCAAAAACAAGTCAAGAACTCAACAGGTTATCCATTTATGAAGATGCTTTTCATAGATGTCTTCAGTCACTGTGTTTATAAAGAAATGAGAACATGACAGCCATAATCATTTCTATGAATTTACTGAACTGAAGGATGAAACAATATTGGTGACATGAAGTAGTCCAGCAAACATAGGTAAAAGTAGTCATGTAAGCAGCAACAAAACAGCATAAACACTGGAGAGTAGCAGCCAAAACATGTGCAGCATACACAATAGGGTTGGGAAGGATTAACCGATACGACCGGATATCCGGTTTGACAAGCGAGAGATACGGCTACGTCGGTAGCAGCCTCCTCAATCGATACGAATCAGCCATGAATCCTTAGATGAATCGATTATAGAGTCATGGATTCGGGTATCGCGAGACTAGCAATCAGTTGACTGACTTTAATAGTTTGCATCTTGAAAACAACGCGAGAGCCGGCGGCACGCTCTGTAGCAGGCATTACTGACAACGATAATGGCTGTAAACATCAGCGCCAGCTTGACTGGTGGAGATGAGGAACAGAAGTTAATGCTGGTTGGATAAACCAGGGAGCAGCCAAGCCGCAGCAGAAACTAAAGGCGAATCCTGCCGGTTGTGGGTTGAACGCGGGGTCACAGACACAGACAGAAATACATATTCCTGTCAAATACGGCGGCGCATGATAACGGCTTACCGGCGACCGACAAGCCCGGCTCCAGGTCCAAGAAGTCTTTGTCGGTGTCATGACTGCCCAGAAATACCAGGCGAGCCCTGGCAGCACACAGGTATGTGACGTGTCAGAGGAGAAACGAGCCGTTCACATTTCCACAAACCTCACCGCACTTTAGGGACTGTTCTTTACTTGTCAGTGGAGAAGGGTGGCTGGTTGATTTTTATTTTATTTATTTATTTTATTTTCATCCCCCCTTATGTTAATCACTTATTCATGCTGTTTTTGAAGTATGCATAAGTCAATAAGTAATTTATTCCATTGAAATATCATTGATGTATTATAGAAAAGTGATTTATCTTTTCATAAATGACAAACACAGAGTGTAGCAAACACAGAGAAATAGTCTGACATGCTGTCAGTGATAAGCTGCTAGTCATCACAGTCCACGATATCAACTAATAACAGGAGATGTTAGATTCTGCCCCTACATTGCATGTTATTATTTTATTCTGCTTTATGTTTATATTGTACAGCGTTATAATAAACTTTATTCCAGACTCAAGTCCATATAAGATACATACAAAAACACAGACAATACCATAAAAACAACACAACAAGTAGGTTTAACACTTCAATTTTACTTAAAGTTCACTTCACTTAAAGTTTAAAACTTCTTCTCATTTTTATATTGATCCCATCCAACAAAATGATGTTCATTCAGCAAGAGTTTTTTTGGTCCATGTCTAAAAATAAATACATTTGACATGTGATTTTGTTGTTGTTTGACTTTTTATTTTATTTTTGCCAGTGCCATACAGCAACAATGCTTGGGGGTGTGGTCTTTTACAAATCTGAAAATACTGTACGAATGTCACTTTTATAGAATTGGCTTCTTTATTTTATAATGTATGATTAATGTCTACATCAACAAATGTTAACCATAGAATCGTATCGAAGCGTATTGAATCGTATCGTTCCTACACTGTATCGAATCGTTCTGTATTAAAAATATATCGTTTTTGAATCGTATCATAACACGTGTATCTAGATACGTATTGAAGTGTCTATCACAGAGAGATTCCCAACCCTAATACACAACCAGAACTGAATAAAACAAACATTTGAATGGCAGGTTCAATCGTTCCCTCTGTTAAAGTATGCCATTAAAGCAGCTCTAATGTCAGCCCCTTCTTGGTTGCCATGCTCTGGTAATGCATGAAGAGAAGGCTGAATGTTGGCCTGTCTGTCCTGGTGCACCTCAGTGAAATTGTCACCGTGTTCCTCACAAATGTTATGGAGGACACAGCAGGTCAGCGCCATTTTCTTGCTCAGGTCAAGCTTGCAGTCATTTCTTATTAGGAGGCACCTCCACTGTCCTTTTAATCTCCCAAAAGCCATTTCCACAACTGACTGTGCACTGCTTAATCTGGAGTTATAGGTGTGCTGTTCAGGGGTCAATCTGCCAGTGTCCGCAAAGGGCTTCATGAGCCAGCTCTGCATGGGG